CCTCTGTCTCTTTCGCCCTCCTTTCTCTGTGTCACTCTCTCTCCCTCTCTGTCTCTTTCTCCCTCCTTTCTCTGTGTCACTCTCTCTCCCCGTGTCTCTTTCCTTACCCTCCTCTCTGTGTCACTCTCTCTCCCTGTCTCTTTCCTTACCCTCCTCTGTGTCACTCTCTCTCCCCCATCTCTTTCCTTACCCTCCTCTCTCTGTGTCACTCTCTCTCCCCCTCTGTCTCTTTCTCCCTCCTCTGTGTCACTCTCCTCCCCTCCTTTCTCCCTCCTCTGTGTCACTCTCTCTCCCCCTCTGTCTCTCTCTCCCTCCTCTCTCTGTGTCATTCTCTCTCTTTCTCTGTCTCCCTCCTCTGAGTCACTCTCTCCCCCTCTGTCTCTTTCTCCCTCCTCTCTGTGTCACTCTCTCTCCCCCTCTTTCTCTTTCTCCCTCCTATTTCTGTGTCACTCTCTCTCCCCCCTCTGTCTCTTTCTCCCTCCTCTTTCTGTGTGTTCTCTCTCCCCTCTGTCTGCTCTCCCTCCTCTGTGTCATCTCTCCCCTCTGTCTCTTTCTCCCTCTCTGTCCTCTCCTCCCCCCTCTGACCTCTCTCCCTGTCTCTTTCATCCTCCTCTCTGTCCCTCTCTCCTGTCACTCTCTCTTCCTCTGTCTCTTTCTCCTCCTCTCTGTGTCCTCTCTCTTTCCCCTCTGTCTCTTTCTCCCTCACTCTCTGTGTCACTCTCCCCTCTGTCTCTTTCTCCCTCCTCTCTGTGTCACTCTCTCCCCATCTTTCCTTACCCTCTCTGTGTCACTCTCTCCCCTGTCTTTCTTTACCCTCCTCTCTCTGTGTCTCTCTCTCCCCCTGTCTCTTTCCTTACCCTCCTCTCTCTGGGTCACTCTCTCTCCCCCCTGTCTCTTTCTCCCTCCTCTCTCTGTGTCCTCTCTCTTCCCTCTGTCTCTTTCTCCTCCTCTCTCTGTCCTCTCTCTCTCCCCTCTGTCTCTTTCTCCCTCCTCTCTCTGTGTCACTCTCTCTCCCCCTGTCTCTTTCTCCCTCCTCTCTGTGTCACTCTCTCCCCATCTTTCCTTACCCTCTCTGTGTCACTCTCTCCCCTGTCTTTCTTTACCCTCCTCTCTCTGTGTCTCTCTCTCCCCCTGTCTCTTTCCTTACCCTCCTCTCTCTGGGTCACTCTCTCTCCCCCTGTCTCTTTCTCCCTCCTCTCTCTGTGTCACTCTCTCTCCCCCTGTCTCTTTCCTTACCCTCCTCTCTGTGTCACTCTCTCTCCCCTCTGTCTTTCTCCATCTTCTCTCTGTGTCACTCTCTCTCCCCCTCTGTCTCTTTCTCCTTCCTCTCTCTGTGTCACTCTCTCTCCCCCTGTCTTTCCTTACCCTCCTGTCAAGTCACTAACGCTGAGGATGGAAGGAGGGAGGAGCATGTCTCTCTCTCATGCTCCCTTGCGTTTCCCACATCCTGTGCTGGGAATTGTGGGAACCGCAAAGGAGCATGAGAGAGAAACATGCTCCTCCCTCCTTCCGTCCTCAGAGTTAGTGACAGGACATGATTGCCGCCGGACCGGGGAGGCTGCCACCCGGCCCAGTGGCTCCAGCGCGAAACGGCCCCCTCAGTGTGCCACCGGACTGGCCACCCGGTGGCACCTTGTTCCGCAGTCCCCAGATGCCGCCCCCAATCCAGCCCTGCCGCTGGGCCCCTGATGGCGGCCCTGGCGGCGGGCCCCCCTCTCGGCCGGGCCCTCGGACCATGTCGGAAGTGCCCGACTGGTCAGTCCGCCCCTGATTCCTAGAGACTCTGGGACTCTAAGAATTTCAGATGCCTCGGAGACTACTACTGTCCTTCACACGCTGGTACTGTTAACTGACACGGCAGAGCCGCATCCCTTAATGACATCACATCCTGGGACCCTGACAGGGTTCATCCATTTGTACTAATTGCACTGAGAGGGAGTCCCACAACTGCAGTGATACCGTGATCACAGCCTGATGCCAACCTATATTACCCCTCACTGATACTATTATCACTTATGTTTTGTTTTTCGCTTGTTTATTTTTATTTTTTTTATCAAGCTACACCATGTTGAGTGCCCTTAAGGGCTCACCCTTTTGTACAGCCTAGCAGTACCTGTTGGCAAATGGGGTCTAATCCTCTATACTATACTTACCCTCCTAACCCCGACATCCCCACTTTGAATTATCGTCCCTATTTTATCAATTTGGCGATCCTGTTTTTGTATACTTACCTCTAGGTTCATATAAAAATTGCAAGGGCAGCTGGCATTCTCTACTTTAGCGTAACTACTTACATAGTTACATAGCTGAAAAGAGACTTGCATCCATCAAGTTCAGCCTTCCTCACATTTGTTTTTTGCTATTGATCCAAAAGAAGGAAAAAATCCATTTTGCATCACTTCCAATTTTGCATAAACTGGGGGAAAAAAACCCTTCTTGACCCCAGAATGGCAGTCAGATTAATCCTTGGATCAAGAAGCTATTACCCTACAATGATATCCTTGAATATTCTGTTTTTGCAGGTGTGCATCTAGTTGCTGTTTGAACATCTGTACAGACTCTGATAAAACAACTTCTTCAGGGAGAGAATTCCACATCCTTAGTGTTCTTATGGTGAAAAAACCTTTTCTTTATCTTCGAGGAAATCTTCTTTCTTCTAAACACATGACCTTGTGTCCTATATAAAGGCCAGTTTGTGAATAGATTTCCACACAATGGTATGTATTGGCCCCGGATATATTTGTATAATGTTTTTCTAAACTAAAGAGGTTTAAATTTGTTAACCTTTCTTCATAGCTGAAATGTTCCATTCCTTTTATTAATTTTGGAGCCCGCCTCTGCACTTTTTCTAGTGCCATATATCCTTCTTTAGTACAAGTGCCCAACATTGCACAGCATGTTCAAGATGTGGTCTTAGCAGTGATTTATAAAGAGGCAAAATGATATTCTCATCCTAAGAATTAATGCCCTTTTCCATGCATGACTATACTTTACTGGCCTTAGCCGCTGCTTATTGACATTGCACATTGTTGCATAGTTTGTTGTCTATAACAATTCCCAAGTCCTTTTTGAAAGGATAAATGCTGTTCTGGACTCAACTCCCCTCGATTCTCGCTCCTTCGATCACCACATCAATTGATGGGAGATCTTGTTTAGCAAATAAGACACACAGACACGAAAGAGTGCATAACAAGTTCTCAATGAGTATATTTTCAGGGCTAGCATTTATACACAATTTCTCATGCAAGCAGTGAAGTCTATAGTGTCCTTGTGGTTAATAGTACATACTTGTTGGACATGAAAAAGATAAGCATTTGGATGAAGACGAGACAGGAACATCCTAAGGTCAAGGAAGGTCATACATCCTGTAGAGGAAAGACCTTGGTCCAAAATACATCTGCCAAAGTCAGCATAATTATTTCAAACATTATTTTAAAGCATATAAAGCAAAAAGAGTTAACCATTTCACTTCCTTACATCCCCCTCTTTGAGCAATTAATTTGCTCATATCATTGATAAGATCTTCCCAGGTCAGAGAAACTTCCACATGGTATTTTCAGGGGTGCTAGTCACTCCCTGCGGGACTTTCATTAATTTATTCACCTCGATTCCCATGTGGTAATTCCTAAGGCCCAGTTTTAAAGATGAGTTGATAGTCTCCAGTGGCAGAGAGGAGAATTTCCAATTGTTTCTGTTCGGCATTATGGATTAATTTCTGTATTCTCTTCCTCAATGTACAAGTAAGATGGCAGTTATATAAAATCATACCCAATACAATCAGGACTATAATAACAAGAGGATAGAAGAATGATTTCATTATCTGGGATCCAGTAGGGGACCAACCTGTAAAAGCATCGTACCAATGATGGGCTAAATCATTCTGAATTTGTGAACTCACCTTAAGGAGTTCTCCTTTTAGGATATGTGTGGCTACCTGTGTGTGTACTATAGCATCATTATGTGTAACAAGATGTTTAAACATATTTTGTTTTCCTTTCATTAAGGAGACAATAGTCTCAAGAGGTAGATGGTAATCTTTAAAAGGCAGAGAGCCTAATAGGGCATTAATATGTTTGTCTAAAGTGATTGTGTCGCTGAAATAATATTGGGTGTCATTAAGATCTAACCAGGTAACATTAGTCAAACATCCTGAAAAGGGGAGAGGTAGATTAATACTTGTATTACTAGTAATTATCTTTGTAGGGAGGTTAGTTGCCAAACAGATATGTCGTGTGCTTATTTCAGTCATGGTAAAATAATTTTCAGGATATATGTGCCATATGCACTTGTTAAGTTCATTTTGGAGTAAGCATGGTTCATAAATAGGGGACGAGTGTCGACATGCATATCCTTTGTCAGTGAGAACACAGTGTTTAAGGGAATAGGTCATATTATCTTTGGGGAAAATATAGTCCCCTGTGTATGTGGGTGCCCACCAGGTTAAATTCCTGGTAAAGAGATCATAAACTGGTACTGGTAATGTGTTAAATTGACAAGCTAATTTAACATCCTTTGATGATGTATGATATAGTGTAAAATAGCATGAGCATGAAAAATGTGAAACATTACCAGTTAACCATTCATTGCATTTAGTGGATTGGGGTTTTAGAAGTAACCATTCATTATCTGTGAGGTCAAGCATCCCTCTAATCTTCTCTAGTTTAGGAATCATTAGTGTGTCTTCTAATGCCAGTCTTTGTTGTTGCATCCATAAATACCTGATGGCACAAGTACTCCAGTTACCAAGATCTGTAGTGAATTTCATAGTTGCAACAGTTAAATTACCTAAATAGTTATACATTGATGTATCTAAATCCAATCCTGTAACCTGTGATTTAACAATAATTGGAGCCCAGTTTGCAGTAGCATGGAAACCAGTCCCTATATGCATGCTGGCCGTGTTTAACTTATTCTTGAGGATCTCCATGTCTATACTATTTAGTATACCCATAGTGGTTCCAGCACCTCCTAACAGTGTGTCATACCATTCCCTTTTCTGACTTTTGTTTGCTGTGTTACATATTGTTACAACAGGAGTAGTGATTTTTAATGACACATGTACAGCTTGTAAGAAGGCAGTTGTATTAACACATGTGGACGGAATAGGTGTGTGTGTGTCGTGGTTGACTTTTGGTTCTATGATAGTGGATGAAGGACAGTAATAAGGTGTAAAAATATAAGATAGTGTACAGTTCTCAATCGCAGTGTCATTCATAATGACTAACATTTGTCCCCTTTTCCAATTAATGGTACCAGTTGTATAATCATTATTAAAAATAATAAGGCCTGTCTGTTTACATTGATATGCAACCTTACTAATTTTCTTATAATATATATCCCAAACCTGTTTAGGTGGGTTTTTTTTACCATCAGAACTTATATTAAATAAGGTGGCACAGATGCTGGTGTAATTAGCAACCTTAACTGTGCACATTTCTGCGTTATAAGATCTAACAATTTTCCGTGAACCTTCAAACAAACATAATGCATCGGTTTCATTAGCTGTGGACACATTCCATATGGGTAACTGGTACTTATAAGGGTTATTATTTATCCAGTTCATCCATATGTGTTCAGTCAATGAGTGCTTGCATATTACATGCTGATAGATAGGTGGTGGAGAAAGGTTCTTGAGGGAGCGTGTGTGACGAGTGCTAGATGAGGGGCTAAGGCCTAATTGGGCTGGGGGTATTGAAGAATTGTTCATCATGTCAGAGTCATTTCTCCAGAAACAAACAGGTTTCAAACTTTCCATTGACTTGTACTCATAATGGCATTCAAGGAATAATATCAGAGGGAGTATAACAACTCCAGAAAGCATAGCGCACAACATAATCTTGGTCTCAGGTTCGTATGATCCTCTCAATCTACGATATGGTGTGAAAGCCATGATGCTTCGCTAAGGGGAAATTCTTCTCTTTCCGAGTGAGGAGTGGTGTTGTCTTCCTTGGTTCCCCTCTTTGGACACAGCTTCACTCGGGATGCGTGAATCCAGATGTCGTGGGAATCTGTGAGGACAGCGGTTCTGGTTACAGCAATCACAGTAGCAGGTGGTCCGAAAGGGTATCCTCCTTTCTTGGTCCTATTCAGCTGACGGATATACACCTTGTCACCAGGCTGGTATGGATGAGTAGGTTCCTGTGAAGGTAAGGGAAACTGCGAAGAAACATTGCCATATATACCATTCAGTTTTATCAACAATTCCTGTACATATTGTTCTTGTATTAGCTGTAAATCCCCAGACATTATAACAAGCGGTTCCCTGGCCCAGGGTGTGGGAAAAGGTCGTCCCATCAGAATCTCAAATGGAGATAATTTAGTCACCTTGTGAGGAGTCATTCTTATCTCAGCTAAAATAGCTGGAAGATATTTTGTCCAATTTACCCATGTTCCTGCAGTAGCTTTCATAAGCTTCTCCTTAATGGTCCTATTCATCCTTTCAACTACCCCTGAACTCTGTGGATGATAGGGTATATGAAACTTCCAGGTAACTTGCAAGAATTTAGCAAGTTCCTGGGTAACCTTACTAGCAAAAGCCGGGCCATTATCAGAGTTAATCTGCAGAGGGCAGCCATACCTGGGAATAATTTCAGTAGCAAGAATCTTCACTACCGTCCTAGCATCCTCCCTAGATGTCACAAAGGCCTCAGGCCATCTACTAAACTGATCAACTATGACCAGTAAGTATTGCTGTTTCTTACCAATTTTGGGTACATGAGTAAAATCAATCTGTAAGTGTGTAAAAGGAGCAGCTGGAGGGGGCAAATGTTCGTGCTGTGATTTGTGTGGAATATTCGGATGTGTTCTCATACATGGTTCACACAATCTAACAAAAGACTGTACATGCTGCCTGAGATTCCTAATATAAAATGAATTCATGAGGAATTGGATGGTACTTGCTATGCTCTTGTGGCCAGGACCATGGGCCTGACTGATAAAGATAAAACAGCTGGCTTCAGGTATGCCAATCTTCCCCTCTTTTGAAAAAAAATCATTCTGGTCTTTTTCTAAACCTTGTTTAATCCAAAAATCAAAGTCAGATTGCGTTGCAAAGGCTTGGAGCTGCAAAAGCAAACTGTCGGTAGGGCATGTGGGAGGTGTGAGCATAGCAGGAAACATTTCATAGTAAAGAGTCTTGGCTGCAACTTCTTTTGCCACTTTGTCAGCCAAGGCATTACCTCTGGAAATGTCGTCACTACCCAGAGTGTGTGCCTTGCAGTGGATAACAGCTACTTCAGATGGGAGTAGGATAGCATCTAGGAGTGATTGGATGAGATTTGTGTGTGAAATGGCTTTTCCATCGGCTCCTACAAAGCCTCTTTGTTTCCAAATCACACCAAAATCATGCACTACCCCATGAGCATATCGTGAGTCTGTGTAAATGTTCACTCGCTGTCCTGAGAAAAGCTGACAGGCACGTGTGAGAGCAATGAGTTCTGCAGCTTGTGCAGACGGCTGGAAAATAGTGTCAGCTTCAATGATTTTATCAGGTAGCTGTACCACAGCATAGCCTGTGAGGTATGTACCATCATTTGGTCTGGAGCAAGAGCCATCCACAAAGACAGTGGTCACATCCGGGCCACTGAGTGCTGTGGAGGAGAGGTCTGCTCTGGGAGATGTGGCAATATGTATTTGTTCAATGCAATTATGAGGCTCAGATGGTATAGACACAGAGTCAGATGCAGAAGTGAGAATAGCATGCAAAACAGACATAGGACCAGAATTAACAGGACTATAAACAATAGACAGATTCTGGGTATTAAGTAGAATAATCTCATAACCACTTAAGCGCTGGGCTGTCATGTGTTGTGTGGTGAGATTTTTTATAAGCTGAGTAACCTGGTGACTGGTATGGAGTATTGTAGGATGCCCTAGTGTGATAGTAGTTGCAGTCTCAACAGCCATTGCACATGCTGCCAATGCTCTGAGACACGCCGGCATACCCTGTACCGGAGCTGGAACTACTTTGGAAAAGAATGCTATGGGACGCATACCGCCTCCGTGCTCTTGTGCACAGACCGCGGCCATGGTTTTACAGTTGTCCCGAGCATACAAATGAAATGGTTTACAATACACAGGTAGTCCTAAAGCCGGGGCTTGTACAATAGCAACTTTGAGAGCAATATACGCAGCTAGCATGTCTGGTGACCAGCAGACATTTTCAGGGCTGTCAGAACGTACAGCCTCCCTTAGGATTGAGTCATAATGGGAGCATTCAGGGATCCATTGGCGGCAGTAATTAATCATGCCGAGGAAGGTGAGCAACTCCTTCCGAGTAGTGGGTTTAGGAATCCTCTGAATGACCTCAATACGTTTTGGACTCAATTGTCTGGTGCCTGAAGCCAGAACAAAACCTAAGTAATCAACCTTTGATTTACACAATTGCATTTTGTGTTTTGCAACCTTGTGACCCACAGTTGCTAAGTGTTTGAGCAAATTGACAGTATCCACAGTGCTTGCCTCATAGCTAGGGCTACATAACAATAAGTCATCAACATATTGCAAAAGGACGGAACCATGACCGGGGGTCCATGTTTTTAGAGTATGTTGGAGTACCAGCGAATAAACGGCTGGGGAATCCACATAGCCTTGGGGTAAACGTGTCCAGGTATACTGACAGCCTTCAAAAGTAAAAGCCATAAGTAGCTGTGTCTCTTGATCAATAGGTATAGAAAAAAATGCATTACTTAAATCAATGACAGTGAAGCAAGTGGCATCATGTGGAATGGCTGTAATGAGGGATGTCACATCAGGGACAATGGGTGCAATGGGCACAATTAAACTATTCAGGGCTCTAAAATCCTGAACTAAGCGATAACCATTACCTTTAGGAACTGGATTAATAGGTGTGTTATATGGAGAAACTACTGGCTTTAGTATTCCCTGCTCTAGAAAAGATTGGATCATGGGGCGAACTCCCTCAACCTTGGCTTCTGACAGGGGGTACTGTTTAAGGTAGATAGGAGTTACAGCTGGTTTTAGTTTGGCTTTGTAAGGGGTGCAGTTGACAAATCCTACATCTAACTTAGATGAAGCCCACACAGAAGAAGGAACATCAGACAAATCAATAGTTTCAGAACACAACATAGACACATCAATACCACCAGAGGGCGTGCAAGTAATAGTAGCTCCCAGAATACCAAGAAGATCCCTTCCCAGCAAATTGACAGGACATTTAGGTATTAAACGAAAAGGGTGCATGGTAGAAGAACCATTAAGAGGACAAAAAACAGACAGTGGTGGTGTGACAAAAGTGGGGGTTGACACTCCATTAATACCCAATGAAGGTGTAGACTTTTCCCTTGTCCCCTGATAATAGGTATCACAGAGACTGGAACACGTAGCTCCAGTATCTACCAAAAATGGCAAGGATCTACCTTCTATGACCAGAATACAAAAAGGCTGATCATCATTAGTAGAGGACAAAAGTGGAAAAGTTGGAGTGTCACCTTCAAGGCAGCCCTATTGGGGCCATGGGATGTGATGGGTGTGCTGGTCAGTGGTACCTGTGAATGGCCCTAATGCAGTTTGGGTTTGTTGGAGCGGGGGGGGAGAGGGAAGTGCTGGCCAGTGGTGTTGGGAGTGGGCCTGGTGTTGTTCTTGCCTACCGGGCGTATTTTGATAATTGTGGGGTTTTTGGGGCTGCTGGGGTTTCCTGGGGTGTGGACACTCATTCCTCCAGTGGTCATGCTGGCCACAGTTGAAACAAGTGTTCCTGTCTATTCCTCCTTGGTTACCCCTGCCCCTATAACCCTGATTTCCCTGTCTCCATCCCCTTGCCCCTCTTTGACCACCCCTTCCACAGGCTCTATGTGCTCCATCCCATCCTCTCTCTCGGGCCTGTGTAGGTGGACAGTGTTGCAATCCCTGAGCATAATAAGCAACCTTACTTCCTGAATCTTTTCTTAAATCAAAACAACCTGCATTTTCCTTCTCAATAACCTTGGTAAGAAAATCTGAGCCACACAAATTGGCCCAGTCTGAAATCAACTGTTTCACAAGCAAAGAATACTGTGGCAACATATTACCAAGGCATGACTGTATTTTAAGGAGATCCATATCATCTCCAGACTTCAAACCTGCCTCATCCTTCCAACACTTGTAAAATCTCTTTACAAAAACACCAATCTCTTCCTTTGCACCTTGCTTACATGCCAAAGCAGTGGATATAGACTGCTTATTCTTCCATAATCTCAACATTTCAGCTTCCACCTCATCCCACATTTTAGCACATCCTGCTGAAGTACTAAGCTCATAAACACCATCACTGCCAGCCACTCCAACTCCAGTACCGTTGTCTGTCTCACTGATAGAGGGTACATTAGACCAATTCCAACCAGAATCTGAATCATACCCTAATATTCCATTTATAATTAACTGTATGTCTATCTGTGTCATGTTCTGTCCTAAACACATTCTTTTCAGATACATTAGGCATGCAGAGGGATTAGTACGGGGGTTTGGGGCACCTTGAATAATATCCTTGAGTACTCCGGGATTAATGGGTTTCATTATTAACTGATTACCAACAGTCATAAACGGGGCAGTAAGATCAGCACCTTCTAATTCTGGCATCTCTACATCATCATCATCTTGCTTATGTACATATGATTTTAACACCTTGCCACTTTTAAGTTTAACTCCTGTTTGTACTGTTAATTTAACTGTACCAGGAGGTGGCGGTGGGTATTCTATATCAGAATCTGGTGTAGATGATGATTCCTGTAATTGCTGTGATTGTGAATTAACAGCTGCAGCAGCAGAAATATCCTCTATATCATCCTCTGAGGGGGCATTAGGTACAGCAGGATACATTGCTTTATAGGGAGGTGGGGGTTGTGGTTGGGCATGGCCGGGGGCTAACTGGGTAGGGGGCACAGTTGGTGGTGGATATAGATTATCAGGAGGGGCTTCTATAGAAAAGCAAATAGTATTACTGTCAACAGTTCCCTTTCTCTTAGCCAGGTGTTTCTTAGCTC